TGTCCTCATTCGGCAAAAACAAAAAACTTGCATATTTACTATTTGTTTAATGAGTGCATTTTTGTTTAAAAATATCAAACAAGATTAACACTAAGTAAAATAGGAATCAACTGCTTCGTTTTATTTGAGTAAGATGGAAACCATGCAAAAACAATAGTAGTGATCACTGTGATTATTATATAAATTTCTTGCAAAGTCTGGAACGATACTGAAAAAAAATCGTTGATTTCCTTCTATATTCATGCCTGAAATTAGGCCGAAGTATCCGCAGGTGAATATGAGTATCCAGATAATAAGTTAGGATTGATCAGTTCACACGAATTGTTCACAATTGTTCATTGCAAAACAATGACCTAGAAACGGCCCAGCTTGAGGGAAACAGTATCGTGGAAAGAAAGAACAGTATCAGACCCGATACCCTTAAAAGACCTGGCGAGAACACTGCAGAATCACGGGCGAAACGAAAGTTACGCGGCTTTTGTCTAAGCGATGCAGGCCCGAGGAGAACACTGTACATGTAACCAGCACATTTACGAATCAAGATTGACAGAAAGTTGTACGGCATCTGTCTTCGATTTTGTCTATTGATGAATATGATGCACAAAGTGAAATTGAACTTGCGTTCATGAAAATCGGAAAGGGTACTGCTTTTTCGTCAAACTGAAAAAATGGCCGCATCACTCTTGTAACTGCACATGTGTACTCCCCATACTCGCATACATTTGATGTTTTTAGATGCTGTATCTGCTCAAATAACATCAATCATGATACAATAAATCATTATATACTAAAATTCGCAAATTTGCAGACCTTCCAATGAAATATTACCAGTTTTTTTTTGCGACAGAATACATTATTGCAATATGCAAATTAGGCTACTCACCCTAGTCAAATATTTGTTAAGAAACTTCAAAAACTCTAAGTTATAAATTAACAAGCCATGCATGGCACAGTCCCTGTTAGTTATCAAATTTAAGATAAATAGTTTTGTTTATAGTAATATGGCTGGAATATAACCATGTCAGGAAGTACTTGTCCATATTGAGAGATATTACTCTGGAACAGCATTCAAAATCAGCCATTTTGAATACATGTATATATAAAACGTGATGTATAACGAATATATAAAATTTGAATATAATCAGAACCCGTAATGTCTAATGTACATGTATGTACCAAGTTTGAACAAAATCCATCTATAAATGCCAGAAATGCTTGATATTTGATGATTTGTTAGCACAAAAATGACCATCATTCGGCCATTTTGAATAGGATTGTCAAACCAATATATCTGTATATCTATGACATGATGTATAATGAATATTTAAAATTTGAATATAATCAGTCAAAACAAGTCTGAGATATGGAAGCCTAGAAGCCCATTCATTAAAACAAAATGTCCGCCAGACAGCCATTTTGAATCCGATCTGAAAAATAAATGATGTGCATTAGGAACTTGTAATGTCTAATATATGTACCAAGTTTGAACGAAATCCATCCATAAATGCTTGATATTTGATGATTTTTTAGCACAAAAATGGCCACCATTTGGCCATTTTGAATAGGATCATCAAACCAATATATCTGTCTATCTATGACATGATGTATAATGAATATTTAAAATTTGAACATAATCAGTGAAAG